TACGATGCTTTCAGTTTTGATATTATTGATGGGTGGTGGGTAGGTGTGGGATTGAGGACACGCGTTCCGTTCTATTCGAGAGTTGGCATGTGATTGCGCCTGCCTCTCATTCAGTGGTGTTGTTTCCCATTTGACTCGAATTCGAGGCCGATCGCTGCAATCACAAAGCAGTAAATAGTCACTAGTGTGTTCTCCGATCGTCAATATGTTTTGAATTTATAATGTGGATCGATGAGAATTGCATTGAAATTCATTTCACTTGTGGTTGACCTCATGCAACTTGAAAGTTTTGTTGACGAAAGGAATTGAAATGAGATCTTACTGCTACGAGAATCGACCTGTTTATCGGTCACAAGCCCGTAAACCTGTTGTGTTACTTTGCATGAAGAAGTTCTATACATCAGTCTAACAATCAAATACAAAGTCAGATACTATTCTTACATTCAGATTCATCTATTAGGAAGTAGAAATAATATGAAGAATATTTTTCACTGATGAAGCAAGTTATGTGTACATGAATTGAGAAAACAATGAGATTTTGCCTTCTTGTGTAAAATGTGATGATGCAATAGTGATGTGAGAGTAAATCTATGCCTTGATGAAACCAGAGAGAGAGAGAGGAGATCAGCGATACATGTGCATATTCGACACAGTCGTTCAATGGAAGAGTCATGTTTCAGAAAATATCGGACTCACTTGTGGTCGGTGCTAGAAAATGAAAGGAATGTGCTAGCACATAAGCAACGCAACAGACAGATGTCCATCTCAGTTCGAGTGGTACTCGTTATCTTGTTGTCTTGCATTGTATTATTTATTATGAGCGATAATTTTACCATGATGATGATGGTGATGATGATGATGATGATTATGATGACTTAATCCTCACTTATTACTCTGATGTTTTTTTCAGCTTTTACACTAATTCCATGCCAATTATCTTGTCATACGTTGAGAAATTTTCGTTGGTTTCCTAGAAACACATCTGTCTCTGGAATGCGTTGCTTTTATGAAATTTCTCGCTTCTGTTATCGGTCTATCAATCTTTATAAAGTTTTTACTGTTAGCCATTTACTTCAGCTTTTTATGTGAACACTCAGGTGTTAATATAAAACACATGAGGTGTTGGAACGCTTTATGTTCGGCGTGAACAAAATTGTCTTTGAGGGTTGAATTTTGGTCTCTGATTTTAATTGTAGATTTATAAAATTTGAAATGTAATCTGTGAAATACTGATCTGGTGCTATTTTAGTTCAGTTTTGGGTCCCTGACCAGCTTGCCGTTTGTTCGGAATAATTGTTCGAGTATAATTGTGGCTACGTATATATTCACTGTTCGGTGTTAATATTATGTATTTTGGGAATCATAAAATCTGGCATATTTGTTTGATTCTCCCGTATTACTCTACAGGTACTTGGAACTGTAACGTTTCTAGGTATGGAACTCCTCAAATTTTGACTTCACATCCAATACATAGGCTTTATTACTCCTGAGTTTTATTTAATTCACTAGAAGACACTTATGGGCTTCTTTGTATTATGTAATAGTCTCAAAAGCGGAAAACATTTCTCAAATAGAATTCCAATAGATTTGATCATTGAACAAACTTTCATTACACTAGGTTTATTTGAAATGTCAGTTGCTGTTTGATTACTTTTGAGTAATCATAAATTTTAACGGTGATAGTAAACTTGTGTGACAATTTTTTTGGTTACTCGTAAACTATTAGCTGGTATGCCACTTTATTATTCACCTGTTACGCAACTAAATATCACAGTTTGAGCATACTGTGCAGTATCTCATTCTCGTTTTCTGGTTAACTTTCGCAGTCAACACTAGGTGAATGGTAGTATTTTGACAATAAACGTCTCAGAAGGATATTATAAAATCCCATTTCTAGCTATATTGTAGTGAGACACAGCGTTAAAGCCAAAGAAATCAAGTCAGAGAAAGAGATTGTGCGCTTGCAGAGACTGATCTGGGCTAAATATTTATTTTTAGGTTGAAAGGAAAAGCCAATACATGCAGGATTTAAATGTGATTCCACACCATTATGGCGGTCTAGGCTTCCTTGCTGGGGTATTTGGAGTAGTACAAATCAGTGTTAAAAGAGAATAATATATGTGACTTAGTGTCTATCACAATGGTACACTCAATGTTATCGTTTAAAACTTTTATTGCTTTTGTCGAGTTTGACGTATTTATTCTGTCTTCATTCACACGTTTTTAAAACCTTGTCACTGGTTTTCTGTCCACTTCTTTTCTGTATCCTTGTGTGGCGAATTATGCACTCCAATTTTAGGTTTTAGTCAAATCACTCCATCTGTCTGACTTCAATAACATGGACCTTAATTTCCAATCTGAGGAACATTACTATTTTATTCAAATCATGTCTAAGGAGTCTTAAATAAATTGATTAGATTTATTAAAGTATTCTAGTGAATTTTCCCTGAAAAGAACTTGTGTTGATGGGAAGCTTCAAGATTCTTTTAAAATATGGCCAAGTGACAGTTACTTCTCTGTGTTTAAATAAGCCATTCCTGTTTGAAAATATGCATCCAGATTACTGGAAGTGTTAGACAGATCAGGCGTTATAGCAACAGATCATAAATATTGGAAATATTACATCAGTATCGAAACAGTATTAAGACATACAAACAAAATCCCAATGTGCAAACAACGACCTCGACGTACTATCGAGTATTTCACTTCTCTCACTTTATATTCATTCCCTTCAGCTTTATACTTCTATTGCGTAACTCCCTTTCATTAATATATATACTTTGATTCCTGACCTGAATGAATTCTGGGATGTTCTACCTACCAAAAGTGCGGCTTCATAAATGACTTTGTTGATTATAGCAGATTTTCTTTCTGCATCGGTGTTTTTTTCTTAATACTGCTACTTCATATTGCGCATTGTCTCCTCAGAAATGTTTGTTATTTGACTACTGTTGTTTCTTGGGCTTTCCTTGTCATAATTTATTGCCACAAAATGACTTAATGTGTCTACCAGACTATAACTTACAGATATACCTAAGCTGTTACTGATACATCATTTCCAGATTAGTCTACTAGAGAGACATACTACTGGTAAACTTAAAAATAAGTAACACGAAAAGCAAATCAAAAGTGACAAAAACACGTATGGTAATACCCAGCTCAACCTGAAAAATGAGTTATTTTGAGAGAGACTGATGGTAGACTCATAGATAGTAGTTACCAGAAAACAGAAGTAAGGTAGTTTGGGAATAATGCTGTCTGAGATAAGGGAATAACAGCTGTCAGTTTTCACTGGTTATACATGTTTATCTGTTTATACTGAGGTAGCAGATAAAGTGGTTAGGAAACGTATTATTAGTATGACGCTTATCCGGCACTGAGCTGTAGGCATAGTAATCTACCGTCTATATTTGAATACCCTGTTTTCAATGAAATTTTACTTTACTATAACCGTTGATCTCTGAATTCAGTCAGTAGTGATTTGTGTCAGTATCCCTCCTAGAGCTGACCTAGATTTATCCGTGAAGGTATTTATTGTTGATTCCAGTCATAATTTCTCTTCATTGAGATTAGTTTACGAACATGTGCCGTCTCGGTAATTTTAATCAGTTTCCTTTGTGCACGTTGAAACACTTCTTGTTAGAAGACCTTTGATATGATTATTATCTGTTTGCTGTAAATAGCCTTCTGATTATAGTGAAATGTGCACTCGTATCCAAAGCAAAATAATGCAGTTTCCAGGCATAAGATTTTTACAAGTCACACGTGGTGTCACGAAGATTGTGAATCTGAATAAAAAAGGATTTCAGGACTGAGTGACCATACCCCATGTCCTGTTTTTGCAAGTTCACACATAAAACACCTGAATCGTGTAATTATTTGGACGCAAGGCCACCTTTAACATGATAAAGATCACTTTACACTAGATAGGGTGCTTGATACACCATGGAGTTTTTACCATGCTATATTTCAGCAAATTTATTGCTTTTACAATATTTTCAAATGAATTTAGTTACTTCACCTTATTAGTGTTAATAATAATAACAGTAGTACATGCAATAGCAAAGTATTGACCAACTGTAGTCAGGTTATCGTTCAGTCAGAAAAGAAAATGGATATGAGAGCGTAATTAATCCGATGGTGGTGGTGCGGAGGTAGTTCATTTAGCTAGCATGAAAACTTTCATTTCAGCCCCACTGTTTCTGAATAATTAGGACATGTGTCATTGCGCACCTTGCAGACAATTAGCATTTACCATTGTATTTTGTCTCAATTTGATACTTAACTTGAATGATACCAGGTTGGTAACGTCTTAAAAATATATGACAATAGATGAAAAGAATGAAGGATGTATTCAAATAATTAAAATAAGTTCAAAGGAAGCAATTAAAAGAAACACATCCAGTAAAACCTTTCAAGTTTTAAACAAGCCCCTGAAGTTTGTAGTATGAACGTTATTACTTGTCCAGCTTTTTGATCTCTGTATTTCTCCAAGATGCTAAAATCCAGTCAAATCATTCTGAAACTATGCAAACATACGGCAAATTTCGGGCAGTTATCTGACTATGCAAATAGCTAACAGGACGAACCACTTCGTAAAAGTCAAAAGAGGGAACATTCTTGAAACTTCCTATAGTAATGATCGAAGTTGTGGTTGTAAAAGGGAACATGGTAATGAAAGTATTTCAACTTATAATTTATCAGGATTTGTCACACAACTTCTTAACCAGCTGCAGAATTTAGAAATGAGCTTGGTGAATCCAGTGTATAATTGTTGCAATTTTCAGGAAAGCGCATCAATGTGTCAAAATTTATCAATACCGCAACCGACGATTGACGCCGACTTGATTAATTTTATCACCTAAACGTTTAAACTTCTGCCCACTTCGAAGGTGAGGATATTGAATGCAAAATCAGAAAGGAATTGATGTTTGAATTAAAACATTTGACTGAATATGCAAATCATAAAAGTAACCAAAAGGAAGTAATGAGGTACTCACTAGCTGGTGTTACTGAAAATAAACGGAAATTATGTGATATGAGAAGGTGAAAATATTTAGCTGACATAGAAATAGTTTATCAACTCTCGACATGCATCAAAAGCTCATGTATACATGAGTATTTGCTACAAAATGAAGTTAAGGTCATAGTCAATTTCGAGTTAGACAGTCCACTTTCTGTTCCACTCGCTATGCCATTTTGAGATAGAATTGTGGTCTGACCTTCATATAGAGTAAACAGTGAAGTAATCATTCAGGTAACTGGACTCTGAAATGACTGGTTAAATTCTGCGCTAGTCTCAACAGCCAATACCGTTCGGCTGCAACCAACAAATTTTAGCTATTTTTGAATCTTAACTGAAATGCTGGAAAAGGAAATCGGTGTTTAAAGATTATTGACATTCAGTCTTTTTTTCTAAAGATTGAATTAAATTGAGAACCGCATCACTTTCTTTCGCGCCTACGATAAACTGAAAACAACTAGAAATTCCAAAAGCTTGCAAGTGGAAAAGCATGCAGAAACAAGCACAAGTTAAAAGCAAACTAACTATACAATGCGTCATGTATTCATTCAATTGATAATCCATTATCAACAAATACAATCACAGACTCACCAGTTGTCGGTGCTAGGAAATGAAGGAAGCATTCTATGATAGAAAGTGGCTACAAATTGAATAGAAAAATGTAGCACTTTGTTCGCGTTCAGAGATTAAACACTTGACCACAATGAAATAACATCTGCAGTTGAGTAAATATCGTCACAGATACCTAATGATACCCACTGTAACCGTTTGTCTCCCAGAGTTTACACATTGAACAAATATGAGTTAGCATTGTTCCTTGCAACATTTCAATATAACGGGTTTGTATATGTCTTTTGTTAACACAGTGTTTCATATCTAGCTTTTAATCGTATTCAGCACTCATCAGCTGGAAATTCTTGTATTCCAGTCAGTGAGGCAATCCACATTAAAAAACTTATCCAACATCTGTCACGTTTGAAAGCAGATCAAAGTGATATGTGGACAGTATTATAATAATTATGTTCCCAAATATAAGAATAAACTACAATTATGTATGACATGGACATCATGATGCATTTTACCTACTTGTATGAGATGATAATTTCATTTGATTTGCCTATCTTATGATTGAGACTTTTGTATAACGCTTCGTTAGAATCTCCTGGAGATGGTCTGTTCATTTAGCGAAGCATTGAAGGTGACAGATCCCTCCCTTTTAATGAAATTTGAAGATTACTTTCTTTTTTTTATGATTACATTAATTTTTACTCTGTTTTATAATTCATGTTTAGATTTCGATAGCATAAAAGTAAAACTTGGACACTGTGGTCAATAGTAATCCCATTTTAGTCAGTTTATTAGAAATATGACACAGCGAAGTAGAAGCATCTACTGGATTACGTTTGGGACAATTTATTGTCCATATTCATATCAGGTAACTCCACAACTTCGTGACAGACTTTATATATTCCTAACTTTCTCTCCTTCTCTGTGATGACAAGGGTAGTAGAATTTTCCGTATATCTGGGACAGATGCAGAATCATTTCGATTGCATGTATTTGGTGTTGATTGAATAAACAAAGATTAGGTTATCAATCTCCCCCTTCACCATTTAAGTTAGTTTTAAACACTGTCGATCTATCCTACCCTACTGTGTGATTATGTGTTATCGCATCCAGACCTATAGCCGAGCTTTTCTCCAGATTTCTTATCTTATTAGGATCTACTAATCTTGATTTATCTAAATTTTCGTGCTTTTTTATTCTAATCGACCCTGGTCGACTGCTTTGACCTATGGACTTGATCTCGCAATCATTGCAAGGGATCCGGTAAACCAGATTATTTTGCTGAATTGCATCGATAGGATCTTTTCGCCTACAAAGCCTGTTTCTAAGTGAGTTTGTTGGCTTATATGCTACTTTAATCCCAGCCTTATTGAGAATTCTTCCTAATGCTTCTGAGGTGCCTTCCTTGAGTGGTAACACAGCAGGGGCTTTGAATTCTCTTCTAACCCTGTAACCATTATTACTATTAGTGGTGGAGTTATTATTAATAACACCTGTGTAACTGCTACTACCACTGTTAACATTTTTCTTTCGATTTCCTATGAATTTATTTATAAATTGTGGTGGGTAGTTATTGAGATGTAGGGTATTCTTGATGTGTTTAGTTTCTTGTCGCAGATGTTCCGATCTATTAGTAAGCTTTTTCGCTCTATCACTTAAGCATTTAACTGGGCCCACTTGGATTGAAATAAGGTGGAAGGATTCGAAGTCTAAGTAGCGGTTCGAATGCGTAGGTTGCCTACAGACACTAGTCTCTCGATTTCCTTCTTGTGTTCATCGCAGACATATTTATGGATAGTTGGGAACAGATGGCCCTTCAAACATTTAGTCCTACTGCAAAAATGTGGTTCCGATCTGTAGACGATACGTTCACAGTGCTGAAATCAAAACACATCAGTCTGTTCTTGGCACATATAAATTCAGTAGTGAATGCAATCCAATTTACCTGTGACTTAGAAAGTGAAGGTGAGTTAGCAATCTTGGATTGTAAGATAAAACGAACACAAGAAGGAAATCTAGAGACTGTAACTCTGTGAAAGAGATGTGGAAGGAAACCAACATAACCGTGTGGAATGGATCTCGACGGACACATTGAGGCTGATAGGGAAGGAGCGAAAGATGGTGAAGTAGAAGATGAACCAGCGCAGTGCAGTGCAGGGATGAACAACAAAAAGAGGAACTGAATACAACCTATAAAACACTACAGTAGACAAAGAAGCAAAGAAGAGTGGACGGAAAGACAAAAGACATTTTCACGACACACTTGCAACTGAAGCAGAACAAGCTGCAGGTAAGGGAGACAGAGACCTGACAACACTATATAAAATAACCAGGTTACTATCTAGGAGAGAAGATATCAGCGAAGACGAAACCGACGAAAGGTAGTGAAGGAAACTAAGTTACCAAAGAGAAGAAACGAAAGAAATAGTGGACTGATCACTTCGATAAACTCTTGAGTTGTCCACCATCTGCCTGCAACTCGTCCAGAAATACCACCAGCAGCCCAGCCACACAACTACCGGTGAACAAAAGCCCTCCAACTAAAGCAAAAGTGAAGTCCTGAACGCCATAGAGTCGCTGAACTCCGGAAAAGCAGCTGGACCAGATGGAATTCCTCCAGAAGCACTGAAAATAGAACCAGAGACAACAGCAGATACTCTAACACCACTGCTGCAGAAGGTTTACAAGGAAGGATGGGAAGATACGTGCAGATTAGAAGAGCTACACTGTCGAGCTCCCAAAGGAGGGAGACATAAGTCTTTGCAGAAACTGGCGCGGAATCATGCTGCTGTCCACCCAAAACAAAATATTATGCCACATCATCCTGGAGAAACTGAAAAATGTCTTGGATTCAAACGTTAGACCGCAACAGGCTGACTGCAACGGGAAGAACAAATCATTTGCAGATCAAATTGAAACGTTACGCATCATCATAGAACAGAGAACAGAATGGCAGTCAACTGTATTCTCACCTCAGCTTCATCGACTTTGAAAAGGCCTTTGACAGCGTCGACTGAGAAGTAATCTGGCAGGCAGCTGCTTCAGCACTACGGTTTTACTGCCACAAACCTTTATCAACCTCACTTAACAGCTATATGATGCTACATGACAAGTAATTCACAATGAAAAGCTCAGCAATGATGCCTTTGAAATGAAGACATGAACGATTAAGACAAGGTTGACACCCATTATCACCGATGATCTGATCGTGGAATGCACATCAGGTATAATTGCTTTTTACTGATAATAGTAATTTTTATGTGAAAGGTACCCTGGTAACTTTCACGACGTTCATAATATTTTAGACATATTCTAGAGAATTGTGCTCACTAGGGAAGGAAAGTGCATGCAAACTAGAGAGAAAGTAATCTGGAAAGACTTAGATAATGAAGATTTTATAATTCAAAGAAAAATATTTAAAAATAGGTAAACTTTGAATAACCCATGATCTGTATGATAAATCAGCTTATTACGTTTTAGAAGCAGAAAACAGTTGAAGATCAGTGTTGTTGTATCCAATGTCTTTTTATTCTTTCTAACCGTTAATAAGAATTCTGTTTATTTTGCGAACATTATTTTTCAACATAACGATAAAATTTTTGTCACTAGTCCACTTGTTAATTCCTTTTTACATTTTATCTGGAAACCGGAAGTTAGTAAAACTTAACACACCTAGTCACTTGAATCTTCATCATACAAGCATGGCATAATGCTTCATAGAGGCTATTCGTATAAATACAGCCAAACATAGAATTATGAATGTATTGTGGAGTGAATAGTAAAACTGTGGAAAGTGGGTACTTTTCGCAATAGCAATAGAAAAACCCATTAGAATATTGTATTGACTTAATTTCTAGACATAATTTGGCACTGCTTTTTTGATAAAAAATTTCGATAATTTGTACTTGGACTGACTACCTTATGCTACTATATGTTATTAATTGTAAACTAACGTTTGCTCAGTAACGCGATTTAGTCAGTGCAAAAACTGGATTCACAAATAATAAGTTTTATGCTAAAGTTTGTTAGCATTTTCGTCCTTAGGGATTTTATTCAACAGATTTCTTCACTGCTAAGTTAAGTATTCATGTTACAGCTTCTCCTAAATATGCTGTGCTTATCTTTTGATTGAAAATTTATTGTGAAAATAGCGGTTAGACATCTGTCATTCTGAGGATAGATGAACACATGTTAGGTGGATATATAACTACCAGTCATCTTTGAGTTTTGTTGATAGAGCATTGAGAAACTTTACTTTGAATCCAGTCATGTATTGCCACTTATTTCAATCATCTTCCTAGTTTGGAAAGTTTGCTTCCATTAAATAAAATCATTCACAATTGTTAAAAACAAGTTCTTAAATGAATTCAGCGGTGAGTGTTTTTCAACTTATATTCTATTCCTCTGTCTAGGATATCAGTTTACTGTTAGTCAACAAACTAAAAATTTACGCTTACCAAAAACAGGAACTGAAAATTTGCAGAAAGATTTCTCATTATGCAAGAAGCAACATATATTCCAGGTGAATATAAACGGAATTATGAGAATGTTTAAATTGTGTTGAGAACAAAACGCAAGTCATATCATCTTGCTGAGCAAAACAGTTTATCATTATACAAGTTTTATTAAACCAATATGATACACAACACTTTGAATAACCACCATTAATGATATATATTTAATGAAAATAGACGTCTGAAACACTTATATTCAAGTTTCAGAATGAAAGAGTTGGTTTTAGACAGGTTTGTGGATTTGCAATGTTTCTGTTTCTCATTGTGATAGTAGAAAAGTGGTATTACTTGAAATTGAGAACGATGATTAGGATTCATTGACATAATCTCGTGTTTTTGTTACCAAAACGCTTAGGACTTAGTTACATAAGTTTCGCATCCACTGTTACCACCTATGGTTTCAGTCAATAGCGATTTCAAAGCAACTTTTCAATAATTTTAAGAAAACTTTCATAGCCAACCATGATACTTCGCCTTCCCACTTCATTACGATAACTTGTTCTTGTTCCTTTTTATGATACAGTTCCCCGAGGTAAATCTAAATATGGACTGCCAATTTCATACACAGAGATGATCTCAAGATTGTTTTTCAACGCAGATTTTTGAAGTTAAGCATTTTACACACTGGTAGTTAGTTAGTAGTACGATGACGAAACAACGTATTTAAAGGCTCATAAGAGACTAGAAATGAATAATTATCTTGCAACTTGTTTAAAACCCTATATTCGGCTTGTTTGTTTGAGAGTCTACTGATGCGCGTCTATGACAACTTGGCTTAAATATGAAACTTACAAACAGTGGGATACAGATGAAAACCCACCTCATGATTACTAAATGTTTTTAGTATTATTACCATTTTATGAAATATTTATCCTGTGCAGCAAAGTAGCAATGACAGTAAACAGCTGAATCAGAAGCCAGCACTTAACTCGCGACAAAAAAGGTGCTTATACTTTTCAAATGATTTGTCCGATGAGATGATTTTCTCACAGTGGTTAGAAACAAAACGGAAACAGACTTAAACATTCACTTTGCTGTACGCATAGGAGAATATTTTTTTATCATGAAGTTAGAAGTATGTCTTTGGATCATTACTAAGTACGAAAATCGCTTAAACTTACACGGTAAAATATCTGAAACAAGTTTTTTTTAAACAAAATGTTAAATAACATTTTGCTTATTCGCATTTTATTTGATGCTAATCATCTGCATCTTCCGGTGACTAGTTAGCTTCTCTTCAGAACTATTTATGGGATTAATTACTATTTACATATATCAAAATGTCACTTATAACTCAAACGACTCGTCATCAGGGTGTGAAATAAGTGAGTAAGTCCTTGAAATCCTAGGATCACTTAACAGCTTACTTAGCCTAGAGTTAGCTTTCTCCTACCTTGAAACAATGATTACGTCCCATAAGGAACTGGAATTACGATGGAATTGTTCTGATCTAATTAGGAGGCTGTCAGCATTGTATTTAACCATGGTAGAAGTAGAAATAAATTCCCACTGATAACAGTAAAGTATAGTTGCAGTAAGTAACAAACTGCTCACTGATTTTCAATCAAGTTAGTCGATAATGTGTTCTCGGTAAGCTTAAGAGTTTCTCATTTGTTCTCCAGGTAGTATTAGATAGAGATTTTAAGCGCTTACCAATTATAAACAGCAAATAGATATTTATAAATTGTAATTTGTTACACTAATTACCCATTCAAAGAACTGAATTAGTCACTGTGAGATCTACGTTGTTGTAGTTTCACTGCAAGTTATCAATTCACATGGTAATTCGAGTGCTTGCTGTTGGTGTCAGCTATGAAAGTTGGGACGATATCACATTAAATAACCAACACAAGGCTTCTGGATGCTAAATATTTCTGACAAGACACTTAATTTAAAGTAGGATGCAAATACTCCATCTTCTAATATTGAATAGTTTAAATAGATGATTTAAATGAAACTAAAAGATTTTGGTAGCGAACCCTAATGATAATACCGAAGATTGATTTAAGAGGTTGTTAGAAGGAATAGATACAGCTTTCTTTCATGAAGATTCAAAGAAGTCCATATTAAACTTGAAATTCGTCATATCAACTACAAATTTTTCATTTTCTGAATACTATTGATTCAATAGGTTTTCGGAAGATGAGTAACACGTATACGTGAAAGTTCGTTTCTAATTGAGTTAGAAATGTATTTTACAAATAAACAGCAAAATATAAAATTACATCTAAAGCCTTGAAGCAAACAGTTGTTTAGATTAGAACTTGCTATTTTCCACTGTTAACTGATTTCGACTGAGGCTTTGATATTGCCTGTGGTTTAATTCAAATATTGACAGTCTTAAGGAGTCAGCTGTGAAATACATAACGCATAACTTGTCGTATTTTGGACTGGTCAGCCGGAGATATCTGCGTCTCAACCAGTTGTAGTGTTCCAGCTGAAGCTCAAACCCAGCACGTATTGTGCTAGTTGTTGAAGCAATAGGCGACGGGTTCGAGCCTCGACGAGAACACTATCACTCAGTGCAGTGCAGGTATATCCATCTGCTAAGTCTGAGTAGGGAAAAAACACGTCCTGAATTTCATTGCTAGTTACTATTAATTCTTAGCATCCAAAAGATTTTCTTAGTTTGAAATGCCTTTAACATAAGGTTGATTTCACCATTTACACATCTTTAGTCGGTTAAATATATACTAGTAGTAATACTAACTTATGAAAAAAATTCAGGCACAGTTCATCAGTCTACTTCTCTCACTGTGGTTATTACTGGAATTAATTTATTAGCAACCAATCTTTGTTAACATTTTACCTTTGAAACTTAGTTTTTGAGCTACTGGTATTACTTTATTCAGAATGTAAATTTTATTTGATTATTTTATCTACCATTACAGTTTTCTGACTACAAATTGTCCACAGTTATTCTGAACTGCATCTTCACATTAAATGAATTAGTAAATAGAGTGTACTGGTAGGTACTACACTTCGATTAACATATACGGCTTCAGATCTACTTTGTTTACTGCCTGATGAACAACAGCTGTACATGACAGCCATGCCTAAAGCGAAATATATTAGGAACCCATGATTGTATACCAAGCATAAAGCGTTTAGCGAAATTGTCATTAGTATATATACATGATTGATTCAGTTAGTTACTAATTAAAAATTCAGAATATGAGAATACTTTTAATAAAGTGTGCAAAAATACGCAACATACAGTCTATAAATCCTGTTTTAATGTGTAAATACCACTGTTTATTGTAAGTAGAATAATTTGACGCACTTCTGTTATTTTTATTATAGTACAAAGTGTATCATAAAAGTATTCATTAAGGAAAGCCCCAGATCGGTAATCTGAAGGCCACTTTTCTCATAGTTGCAGCGACATAGGTCATCAAATCGCCTACAATCATCATTCTGACCAAATATCACCAGTATTATTAATCTCAGCTACTTCAAATAGTCTCATTGTTGACAATAATGTTTCTGATACTGGCAGATAACTGAAGGTGAAGTGAAAATTTGACCCAGGGCCGGATTCGAACCAGCCACCACCATTCTAATTCAGTAAAATTTGGATTCGGATGAGAAGTCCTGACTAGGCAGCCAGTGGAGTACAATCAGGAGATAGTTACGCGTCACGAATTCACATCGTAGTCGGGAAAAACCCTTGGTGATTGAAGTGAAATGAAAATCTGGTCAGCAGTCGCACCTCATAGCTCAGTTGGTAGAGCGTCGGGCCGGTAACCCAGTGGCTTCTGGTTCGAATCCGGTTGTGGTTCAAACCTTCATTTCACCTTCAGTCATCACCCGGTGTCAATACTAGTCTACCAAACCACGGGGTACCTCGGATAGGGAAAATGATAATATTGTTTCTTTCATAATATCACCTTATTGTTTTCACATTGTTGGACAAATGTGTTCAGGGATTTTTCTTAAGAATGCTCATATTTGTTTTCAAGTGAATGTTAGTGTATATATTCTTAGTTTCTGAAGTAAAAGAATATCTTCACATCCTATATAGGGGGCCATTTTTCTCTTTCAACATTTTGTGTAACTTTACGACTTTGCGTTATTCATCTGTAAGGTCAAAAGAATATATTTTTTCGAGTAACTTAACTTCTCAAAATCTACATCTTTGCTGCCACCGTGAAGCCAATTATTATTGGGAAGAGTGGTAATCGCAGTAGTCTGATTTAACCACCGGCCACCACTGTATGTAAAACATTTTTAAGACTGGTATTGAAGGCATTCATTTCTAAATGGTTATAATATGCCTCCGTTTTTCTAAAAATAACAAAAATATCTGAAAAGCACTCACTTTTACCAAGCTCTAAAACTGTGTTTAGATGAAATCTGATGCTTAACAATATCCTAAAAGAAGCACCAACTTAGAGATTTTGATAAGTAGTTTAAGAGCAAAACAGAAGTGAAATGCTACTTCTCATTTAATTTTGATTACAAGATTGTTACTCATTTGAGCTGAGATTTCTGAATAACCATCTGTAGAGTTTCACGCAGTGAAACATTATCATTTGCTAGATGACGTTTTAAACGGAATTTGTCGTTTGCATTCATAACTTGAAATCTTTCACATCAAGATTTTATCTCTTGGTTTCTTCTTCATCCTTCTCCTTACAAATAGTACAATTTGCCAGATAGCTGGAATAAATGCTGAGTTGATAAACAAGACTTCAGTAATCAGCCTATTTATTTATCCCCTGAAATAAAGGATGTGGAGTTACCTATGATAGGATATGGACAATGAATTCTGTTTGAAACATCATTCAATGAATAATTATGTTTCACCATGTGAAATACCCAACAACTGAACAAACACATAATTATCCATTACTGTAGGACCAAAGTTCTATTCTCAAATTAATATGCAAACTAACAACAAAATAACCTAAACATTTTAAAACTACCTTTCCTCAACGTTATTTGGTATAAAGAAACGTTTTGTTTGAATGTGTCAGCAAATAACTTTGATGATAATTCACCCTTAAAGTAGATGACAGACAGACACCATAGATAACTGAATTGATGATGCTATTCTAGTCTACACATTCTTCTGAAGAAAACTGTTTTTTGGTGAATTTGCCAATGAAGTATTAACCATAACTTCTTCAAAATACTTCAAACATATCCTTTGTCCATGAATAAAATTTTCGCTTCATGATAGTACTCAGGTAGTGAAGTGTTTTTGTATTCTGAAAGGGTATTAGCTATGGAACTAATAATGTATGAGTATCTGATAAGCAAAATATGCATGTGAAATCCATAATTTATGAAATGATTGAAGTCACTGACGACGATGCAAAAAGTTCTAAAATAACACTGAAGCAACTAGTTATATATACATTTTCTCTTCATCAATTTAAATATAGCGGGCACCACTGACTGGACTGAATATTACGGCAAAATTTTATTTCATTGGTTTCTTTTCAGTCGTTTACAATACGTAATATAAACAGTGAAACACAGTTAGTTCACTGAAAACATGTCCACTCAGTAGCTTAAATCAAAACAGTATGGGAAGAGGTTGTAATAAAGAATCCAATAAAGATAAGAAAACGTGTCAGTGAGTGATTAGATGTATTCTATAAGTGGAAATTTTCAAGGAACGAACTATGTTACTAACAAGTAATATGATACTAAGAATAGAAGATTATGCAAGTAAGTTAGTGGAAAGTTTTAAATCTCCACTGTATTTAATAGATTCTTATATTCTAGGTTGTAAGCATTCGTAGAGAAGTCAAAGCAAAATGGTGACATGTCATTCTATTCAGTTTATTGTCTTTGCAGCTATAAAAACTATCGTTAGTTATTATTTAAAAGGTATGTAATAGTACCATACTGAATAGCGTTCAGCTTTGTTTACACTTCTGAATATCAAAAGGTTTAAGAAAGGCTTTTGCTTACTTATATTTATGCCATCTTGGACTGTTTTTGAGTATAAATACAGAATAATAATGAATTTATTGAATTTTCTGTAGTGTTTTGCTAGGCTACTGAGAAAGTAATGTTTTCCATGATTTCTTTGGTCGGCTTTCTGCTTAGCTGCTTACAGGTATGCAACAAGTTATTCAGACTATATATTAACTTGAGACACTGACACTAGAGAGATTTCACGGTAGATCGAAAATCATTTGTCAATCTTTACCTCATCTAGTAATATTATCACTAAGTTTTTCCAACACAAAGCTTCACCTAACAGAGATGCAGAGTACTCAAAGCATACGTGATATAGAACTTCATCCATTCCTTGAAGAACCCTGTTAGTTAAAATAACAGCGTTGCAGGATTTCCTTGATCACCATTAACCTTCACTCTGAGTCAGGTAAGACAAAGTAAATCGGATATACTTATTCATTTAGCCAACATAACCTCTGATTTGCTTGATGGTGGTCAGCAGGAAAATCCAGAATGCGCCATTCATCCTATTTAAGATTCGAATGCAGCACCCGACATTTCAAAGGTCAGAGCGTATTCCAGTAGGTCCCTGGGGCACGGGATTCAACTCTTGCACAACGGGTATCAGTCGTTATTATTGACTGACTAAATTACCACATAATCAAGAATCTGGCAATATCAAGGCATTTGCATAAAAGTTCATCTGCATACAGAGGTCGTTCACTACAATCTAGAATGATGACAGGATATTACAAGTATCAACAAATAATAACGTCATAAACCGTTGTAATGAAAAACTTTCATTTGTTATATGAAGTAATAATTACATCTGAATGTGCCAAAAGAATAAAAGTAAGGTCAGTACCTCTTAGTTTTACAAGAAATCCAGTTTGTTACAGTTTCTAGTCATTTTTAAGATCATTCATACCGTCTCTAAAGTGTGACTTTGAGAAAGGTCTCAGAAAGAAACGCCGGATCACATTAGCTTACAGAGAATGAGGGGATGAACATGAAAGCATTCCTGAAGACAGCGAGAACAATGAGGAACAAAACCAACTCCAATGTAGTCGGACAAAGGGTCTACACAGTACTTGCAAACAGTGATGAGCAGGGAAGATTAAATAGATGGAAAAAGCAAAGGCTATAGGTAACAGTAAATGGTTACTTAGATAGGTTAAGGGTGCACGCAACCTGAAACAAGGAAGGTTATCAAGCCTCACTGTGCTAAAGGACGACGGTGGAGGATCATTGTTCAGAATAACTGAGGTATTATCCAGAGCATGAGAAGCAGACATAATGCTGTCTCACTGGTCTCAACCGCTGACTGTCCTAGCCATCAAAAAAGGAGGGTGATCATTCTGTGAATTTAACCTGACGAATATAGTATCCAAGGCTCCAGGTTCTATAATTATTAGTTGCCAAACTGAATCTCAGAAACCGCTAACGTGTTGAACTTTTGAACTTGGCACCGATGCATCCAACGGATCTTCATCCTCCACGAGGTCCTTGAAAAAAGGCACACCTGCCGGCTCCTGAAACTAGACTGGATTAAATCCTCGAAGGTCAGTGAAAAGAAGTATTCTTCTGAGTATAGATTCTAGGCTTAAGGTATCGTGTATCGAGATGCTTTCAGCATGTCGTAACGTAATCATTTTAGAGACAGGTAATGAGATGACAAGACGGATTTCTAAAATTGTAAAACCCATCTCTGTTCATTTAAAGTTATAAGTGTACTACAAACCATTTGAATGAAATTTTATCACCTTTTATGGTGTCCAATTTTTACTTTCCCTGATACGGATTAAGACTCAGGAGAGCTTAGTGTTAAAGCCTGTAGTTGTAGCACTGGACAACATGGCTTCGGATCTCAAAAGGGATGTGAATTTTATGAGGATTCAGACCCATCTATCTGCAAATTACCAGTTAGTACGAACCCTATCCTTAGGGTTTCCTTTCGACCAACTCTGCCCACTTAATATCGGTCTGAATTGCACTACAGTGGTGAATGTCCTTCCCCAGCGACCACTTTACAAAATGACTAACAGAAGTTGGTTACCATTTAAGAATGGCTTACATGAAATGGGTTAATGTCGAGTGACCCATCAATTTTTATTGAAAATCAAGTAGTGATTAACCATTAAACATCGGCCACAACCTTTAGTGGGATTTCACATTCTGACTGCAAGTATTTCCATACATAGGCTTTTTAATGGAAATCAGCAACATAAAAAATATTCTGATAAAATTCTGTCTTCGCTAATATGATTTAACTCCATTTAAGGCGATTAAACCCTTTTGTGTAAATATGTTTATCTACATAATCTGATGAATGTGTTTGACAAAATCAGTTCACAAGTAAACTCACCATATCCATAAAAAAAACTGCCTAGATATTAGACAATAAATGAAAATCAGTGCTCTATCAGTGTCAATATTATTTGAGATCACACTAATTCACACGAAAACCGAATCAATCTAGATTGAAATTTAGACTTCCTTATCATTTAAGTCTCTCAGCCCAACCTGTAGATTATCTGACCAGCAGTCTATAGACTTTTGGCTCGAATTGTTCTTCTAGCTTCAATTATTATAATAACATATAAAAATTATGAAGAACATGTTAAAAAGTATTCAGTCCAGTCTTAATGAAACATGAATTCGTATCTTTGATGATGAACTGATTACCTCATATTCAGTTAGGGAATTATGTCAGTTAACTTCACCTCGCTAAGGTTTATCATCTGGTAGGAGGACAAGAATGATAATGTTGGACTCCATAAATACGTCATTATTTGGATCTATCTTAAAGATATGATATTATAAAGCGTTAAAATGGTTTGTTAGCGCTTAAAATTGAGTTTTACATGTAGATGTGTTCTAAGATAAGGCTGTGACTGTCAGTTCAGTCAGTACAGCTTCTAAATCTGATTGACGTCATGCCAAAGTATTCGTGTACCAGTCAAATCAAAACTTCATTATATTTTGGCTCATTCAAAGTGTGTCATAATCAACACCTCATCGAATATGTATGCAGTAAACTGGAATTTAAACTAACCTTGGGCGGTATTTATTACAGAAAACAATGTGATGGTGAACAGAATAACAGATTTCATAATTATTTGCGTGGAGAATGAACTAATATTTAACAAATGCACAGTTATTTATATGAAGTTTGCATATAAATGCGGTTGTTTTATCTACTTGTACATATGTCTTCAAGTGCCTAATTCAATTAGCTTGGAGTGATTGATTTCACATCATTTCTAAAAAACAAACAGTAAAAAAATTAATAAGTGGCAGTTTTCTGAGATCAATGGAGAACAAATGTCTCAATTTACTGTTGTAAACCACTTATTTTCAGATAGGGTTACATACTTCCTAACAGTGTTTCAAGTAAGGGGAACATCCATTCATAGAATAAACAATTATCTGTACTGTATTATATTCTTCTTACCTCTTCTTTGCTGATTTGAAGTAACTATCATAAACCGATTGTTTAAACACTTATATAACTTACAATTATCTGCTTTTATGTTAACTGCAGTACAGAAAAAGCAAAGCATTCTACCTTGTGTTTGTGCGACTGAACTTAGCTTTTCCAACTATCCCCTTTTGTTAAAATATGCATATGGCTGTTAAAACTGGCAATCACATCGATTAGCTGAATCAGTAGGAAGTTATACATTGTGGTGAAAGACTTTTTGTCATGCCTGATGCTACATTAAGATAAACAACATTCAGTAAGCTAAATATAAAATAGGGTGAGTAATTTATAGAATATTATTATTATTATTAGTCCCTTGGGTTCCTAGTGGAACAAATTTATAGAAACCTGATCATATTTAGTTTAATGATTTTGATCTATTCATTGACCCTGCATACTGAGTAATTTTTCCTATTAGTCACAATGGAAAGCTTAGCGACGTCTTTGGAGTGAAGACAAGAGTAAGACAAGGTTGCCGTTTACTATCACCGATGATCTGCCTGATCGTGGTTGATTGGACTGGACTGGATCATGCAAAAGACAACTGTGAGGAGCGAGAAGATGGGTATACGCTGTTTGAGAAGACCAATGAAAAGACTCTCGAAGATTTGGATTTCACCGATGATAATTTATGTCTAATGTCTTGTCGCACAAACTGAAAGATATACAGGCGAAACTAACAGGTTGGCAGAAGAGGTGAGGCAGTGAAGACAGGACCTTCCTCAAGTGAATGTAGAGAATACAGAGGTGGTTAAGATACCCAACCAACAACAACATCAACAACAAACATCAATCACCATCAACGGGAGAAACCTAAAGGAAGTTATAGCTGACGCACTTGCCTAGGCAGCATCGTCTCAACTACAGGTGGCGGCAGTAGCGGCATAGATGACGATGTCAAAGCCAGCCAGGATTGAGAAGACAGAAAGGCAGGCCTTCATCTATGTGCAGGTCTACTCCACTGCACTGCACTGCACTCAACATAAAACGTGAACAAGATGCAGATTTTCAACAGTAATGTCAGTCAAGTCAGTGCTTCTATGTAATGGTTGAGAGACTTGGTGCGTTACGAAAAGCATTTCCAACAAACTACAGACATACATCATCAACAGCTACCGTCTACGCTCACTCGATGCTGAAGATCAGATGGCCAGAACAATTAGAATAAGTAAGAAGGAACTCACTCTGACTGGCAACGAACCAACCAAGAACCCGTCGTCCAATAAATATGAGGAAGAAAGTGGAGATGGATGGAGCCTACAACGAGAAGATCATCAGAACATATCACGCGACAGGCCATGCACACGAGTGGAAGCCAAATGAGAAACGACGGGTTGGGCGTCTGAGCCGAGGATGACATGCAGGAGATGGTATGAGGGAGAAATGAAAGCTTGTGGAGAGCCGTGGAGCCAGGTTTTGAAGACTGCAGAGAAGACAGTGAAATGGAGACGTGCTACTGAAGCCCTATATTCTACTAAGAACCCCAAGGACAAATAATAATAATAATTTTAACTTCTAGCCAAGTAGAATGTTAAATTGTGAGGAAATTTTCACACTTTTGGATTCTACAGATTCGTAACATCGATAAATTGTGTCGTTTTATGCTCTCATTTTAATCTCACATGCATACATTTAAGTGATGCATTGTCATACTACATTGCAACGTTTATCAGTGACTATCATAGGGAAGGTGATCAAGACTTACGAACAGTTCGAGATTCTAACATAAGTTGTAGGACTATTAAGAGAATAGTGTTCTTGTCTAGGCTTCAGTCAAATCTATTTAGAACATCTCTCTGAACTATAGTACATTTTAATCAAAATATTAACTTCATCAATTTGAAGAAACGTAACATTGATAACGATTCAGAAACGGAATCTGAAATCCGCATGTTTTTATGCACCTCAAGAAGTACTCTGGTACTACTGTTGCTGATAGTTTGTCAAATAAGCTTGTGATATATAGAACATTTTAGTTGGCTAGTGAGTAACAAAGGTAGTTGAAGCACAAACTCGTATGGTTGGGCAGACATAACAGGGTAATCTTGAATATGTTAAAAACAATATTCCCATATGCTATCACTAGTTTAAAAAAGGCTTGAATTCGAATGAATGTTGACCATGATATTATTAAGTCGGTGTAAAACAATTTTCGTCGTATCTCACAAAATATCCTGTCCTTGGCGTTTCCAGTCTTTGTTTCCTATTCAGCATTTCCCAGTCTTATTCACTTTGAGAATATATTTACCATGAAAAGAACGAGCGATTTCGAATTTTTTTTGGAAAGAAATTCTAGAATTTCACTGCTCCTTTAGGATAAATCAAAATGAGTACATACATAGACAAGCTTGAAGCTGAATAACTCAATATTCGTCTTCTTTTCTGTTAGAAGAATAGATATGAACTATTAAATTCTCAATAATATTGAATTTTTCCTACGCTTGATTTTAAAATAATTCAAACAAAGCACCTATTTTTCCTAATCTTTCAAAATTGACTTTGTCGCGTCCTGATATCTGACTTCAAAGTTATGTACGCTTCCCGACATACTATCACCTTTCTTATTATCCACTAGTGCATGACAATGTAAATATCAAGGGATAACACAAGGCGTAAAGCGGGATGTTGTATTGACAAACGAGCCAACTAAATTTGTAAACCAGTACAATTAAATAAATGTTCAATTATAAGATGTTAAATATATCAACAAAGTAATATGAAATATATGCTACAAGTTTACTATCTTATTTTACGTATCGTTTTTAAATATGCACGAAAAGGCTGTGATTACCTGACTAAGATTCGGCAATAATCATTTTTTGTTAAAGAAGTGAGAATGGATAGGAGTCAACTATATCACATTGATTTTGACTTATGTTTCGCACCGAGAATCACTTTTATAATGCATACTTTCAAGGCGACGAAAGATGTGTCTTTTTATTGCCGTTTGTGTGATGTTTGTCGATGACTTCGCCATCTAGGTAAGTAGTTCAGAAACAATAGTCGACTTTTAAACTCACTCGCTATCCGTAAGATACAGCCCACTGCCAATCGCTGTAATGCTTGATACAGTGAACGAAATACTCACTCCCAGTCTTTGTTGCTGACTCACTTTTCCTGGCTTCTGTCTACATCACAGCATCGTCACTTCCCTTAAATCTGCAGTTAGCGTTCAAATCTTGAACATTAAAGACAACCTCCATTATCATCTGCAACACGTCCGTTATCTGCGTCAATGACTAACCGGTTTAGGAAAAGATTATAACTACTCATTCGAAGATGAATTCATCACTTCTGAGGGTGATAAATCTTTTCGCCACTTGCAGTATCAAAGAATTCGCCAGCTTATTTTAATTAACTTGTGAGTATATGGACAATGTTACTTAGTAGAGATGGTTTTATTGGTTACAAACTTGGATCCACCGACAAAGTATATAAATCTACAGTCATGTGAAGATAAGTATATACAGTAATATACACATTTGTTTATGTGTAATTTTCCTGCGTATTTATTTTAACATTATTAAGATAATATAAATGATGAATTCTACAGCACATTTGAGAATCTCCTAAAGAAGGTGCAACAAATTGACTGATTCGCCATAGAGAAGAGCTTAAAAGTGCAGATAAGAAGGATGAGTCGCGGAGAATGTAATTTAAACAGTTCCTTTTAAGCTAAAACCAGTAAAATAAAAATCTGAAATTTATTCCTAAAATCTTACTTAAATGCGAAAGTAAATTTCTGACACTTTATAAAAGCATCAAATCCACTGTTTTGGAGGATAAAATAAATGCTTATTACTCAAAAGTGAACCTGTCATTAATCAACTAGATAAACACTAAAAAATGGGAGAAATGAACAGCTATTTAGTCCTAGCTTACACATCTACAGCTGTGCTCTGCGAAATGAACTGGCAGATTTTGGGAACTTCAAATTACTGGATTTTGACCTATTAGCTGAAAGGTAACAATGTCACTGTGATATATAAAGCTTTTAGGTTTGATTCCACGTAGATAGAATGATTCACAGTCCCAAAACAGGATGAAGTTACCATCCGGTGCTCAGATATTTTCAGTGGTTCTTTGGTTGATATAGAATTATGATGAAAACCATGAGAAAACCCATCGATTCTCTCCGAATGACTCACTTAAAATAGTTACTACTTCTCAATCTCAAATAAGATCTTTCTATCTTCATTAGTGTTTCTTGCTGATTGATATGTTAACCGAGATGGTTGCTGCAAACAGCAGACTGGTTCCACTAAATTCTATTACTGTTTGGAAATGGTAAAACGATATAAACCTCATTATCATAAGGATTGCTGTCACCGACTGATTTGATAGAGCTGAAGCTCAACCTGAATGGATGAAGAAGACAGTAACTAAATTTATAAGCTTCTCAACATCGGAGGACAGGAATCAAATGCATTCACAAACTGTTTTTGATTTCTGACTATATCACTCAATGATTGGGAAAAATAGTCTGTTTTATAAGAAAAGTAAAAACCTGTTAGCCTAATTTTTATGAAGTTTCAAAAGCCAAAATCTGAGAATTTTAAGCTTTATTGTGCCAATATCTACTCATCATTTAGATGAATGTTAAACAGGATGGAATAAACTTCTTGGATAAATATCTGTCTAGTGATCGCAC